AAGGGTTCTCAACTTGTGCAGTGGTGTTTTTCTTTCGCGGAATTTTCACATACATGTGACCGGTATCATATTATAGTAGAAAATTTACTAATTTGAAATAGTAAAAAATACGTTCTACTAATTGAATTAGTAAATTAAAATAATTAATTATGAAAAATAATTGCAGTTTTGATATAAATAAATATTTAAATAAATAATAACAAATAAGTTGAAATACAACCGAACGAGGGTTTATAGAAATTAATTATTTAAAAATGATTAATTTTGCCATAAAAAATAAACATTATTTAAAAAATAGAAAATTTAGTTATGTTTCCCCCATATAAAAAAATCACCCGGATTATCCTAAATACCTTTTGAGCGCTGTTTGTAGATAAAATGCTTTACATGTTTAAATTGATGTAATCATAATTAAATTATGTTACATTTTTATATTTTATTAGTACTAGAATGTTAAAATAATAAAAGTTTAATAGAATTACCACTTAAAAATTATTATTATATCATCATTTTTTCCTTTCTATTCATATAAATAAACAATGCCATATTTTCCAAAATATTGTACTTCGTGCGCAAAAAAGTTCAAAGTGGATTTTTTTCAAAATCTCTCCACAGATTATTTTAGTTTTTTGATTTTTCTCATCTATGAACATTGTAAATTCAGAATATCTACTAATTTTCTAGGTGTTTGACCTTTTTATTTAATTTTATACAACTCAGGCGTATTATGGTCACTTTATCTACCTGTACAGGCGCGTACTAAGTTCCCCCTTATAACCCAGCAGTCAATAAAGAAACTATTATAGCCCTAGGGGGATAAAGTACCCTTTATCTCCCTCGGGCAATAATGGTCACTTTATTGACCAGCTGGGTTATATGGGAGAACTAAGCATGCACCGGTACAGGTAGCATAGAGTAACCATAATACGCCTTTGTTGTATAAAGCAAAGTATGTAACAAGGGAGGTAACCTCGTTTATGACCGAGCACAATATTGAAAAACTCGGACTTACCTCGCTTGTTGCATAATGTACTATTAGTTAAGGCGCACAAAAAACAATTAACAAACAAGCTTATATCATAATCTTGTATCAAGATTGCAGTGTAAGCTTGCAGCAATAGGACATTTTGTTACTTGACACAAACTTGTCACGAGCTTGCTCTGTAAGCTTGCACACCTTGCACAGCAAGCTTAATGCAAGTTTGTGGCAAGCTTATGTGCTGATTATGCTATAATTCTGGCCTTCTTGAGTTCCATTTTGTGGGAATTGTAGTCACTGACACTGATCCAGCACCAATTTCTGGTCCTCTGATATTATTGTTAGCTTTTTTTTATTTTTATTTCACCATTCTCTTTATAAGCAATCAATTCATTTCCCATTAAGTAATTAATAAGTGTACTTTTGCCACTTCTTGCATTGTCTAGGACAATTGCCGTATTTCCACTCTAACCGCGAGTTGCTTCTTTTATATAACGTTTCGAATCATAAAATTGTTTTCTTATTTTATATACGTCATCAATATTGAAGTTACATTCTTCGCTTCTGATCATAGAAATTAGGAAGCCGACTATTGCTAATCTTATCATGATTGTTAAAGAATATATTGTTACTTTTCCCAGTTGATATTTAAATAATAAATATAATCGACCGCAAATACTAATACAATCTGTAAATATTACTAATGAAATAATTAGAATAAATATTAATTTGATCTTTAAGATGCTATATGCTTACCGCCTTACGGTGTCAATCTTATTCGGGAATAATTAGACCAACTTCATTATTTCTTTTTTGTTTCAAACTTTAATGTCACGTAACAGAAGACTTTAAAATAACGTTTAAAAATTTTACGCGATTCTCCCACTTATGTTGAATATTATTTAAAATATCTCAAAATTTTGTGGACTGTTGTCCAATAGAAAATGTACAGGTGCAACGAATTTAGATTTGATTGAAAAAAATATTATTTATCAGTGAATAGATGTACTGTTAACTAATAGAAAAACTACAGGTGTAACATTTTCATATTAGATAAGAAAAATATTTATAATATCTCTAAATTTTATGTTCTGCTGACGAATAAAAATACTACAGGTGCAACAATTGTAGATTAGAAGAGAAAAAAACCGCTGCCAAGTTGTACACTATATAATTTTGGTGTTCATTTCATGAACACTTTGCTTCCTCATAGAAATAATATTAATTGAATTACTTTTTGTAAAAGGGTTAAAAATCATTAAATCTTGGTCCAAAAAATGTGTTTTTTTATATAATTTATAAGATGGTAATAATGGTTTAATAATTACACATAAGTTAATAAACAAGAATGTTGAAAAAATTATATTTTCCATAATTTTTGATTTTTCAAATACTAATAATTTCATAATTTCTAACCGAATCAGGTTTAAAAACAGGTCAATCGAAGCGTGTTTTAATGCTCTACAAGTTCGTAATGATACTTTTAAAGTTACTTTTACATTATTCAACAAAATTTTCAAAAAAGTATTACACTCGACTCTCGGATCTTTTGCACTTACGGGACCAAATCCTCTTTGGTGGACAAATTCTGTACTAAAACGTTCGTCCCTCAGGTTGAGTCCACAATAAAATAAATCGTCTCGATTTCGATGCGCAGTAATCAAAAATGTATGTACGCACATCGAATCGTCTTGAAAGCAGGGTTGCGTTGGTAAATTACATCAGGTATATTACCTGGTTTGGGTTTCATACCGGTAATTTACCATGTAATTTACCTCAAAAATTTCAAACGCAATGCATTTTTTTTGGTGGGGGGTAAAATACCAGTTTTAGACATGTAAAATACCCATGTAATTTACGTCAAAAACTCCAAGTTACGCGTAACTTCGCAACCCTGCTTGAAAGTCAAGACGATTTTTTTTAGTGGAATCAGCCCCAAGAAAAGACAGAGTCCGTACTTTTTTTGGTGCTGCTGATGTTCGATTTAAATACAGCATTTGCACAACTTCAAAGTACAGTATATGTCCCTCACTGTGTGCCGCTGCTGTACGTCAAAGTGCAGATGCTGCGCTTAACTTCTCTCATAGCGAATTCGGTTAACTGCTCTCTGCTCTAAGACGGAGTGCTCTGCTCCGTGCGAGACCCTGCTTAAAATTCTTGTACAAGATCTTATACATGATCCTGTACAAGATCTTGTTCAAAAATTTGTACTAGATCTTATACAAGTTCAGATGCAAGAAAATGTACACAGAATTGAAACAAGTTCTTGTATCTGAACTTGTACAAGATCTAGTACAAGAAAATAATCTGGTACAAGAAAATGTACATGATCTTGTACACATTTTTCAAATATTTAGAAATTGTTTTGAGTCGAAAACGGTGACAAGTTCGTGTACAAGTACTTGTACAAGTTCTTGTATGTGTTCTCGTACATGTCTATGTGTATCAAAAAATGAAAACTTTATGAGCTGCGCAGTAGTTTTCTTAAGCCTTTACAGCTGCGCAGTAGTTTTTAGGCATTACAAGTGACAAGTCTTACATACTATAGTAAGTTATTAAAATTTAAATTTTTAATAAATAACTTTTTTAATAATCCAAGAAAAATTTTTAAATCAAAATTGTACAAGATCAAGTACAATTTCTTGTACCAGATTATTCTATTGTACAAGTTCAGATACAAGAACTTGTTTCAATTCTGTGTACATTTTCTTGTATCTGAACCAGTATAAGATCTAGTACAAATTCTTGAACAAGATCTTGTACATGATCATGTATAAGATCTTGTACAAGAATTTTAAGCTGGGGAGCACTCTTTGTATGCTTTGACTATAGCAAAATTTGTTAAATCGAAATATACTACTCTTTCGAGGAGCACTCTTAGAGCACTCTAGAGCAGATAACCGAATTCACTATCAGTGTAGTTGTATTTTGAAATTAAAATATGTAGTGAAAGAAAATTTAGAGTATTCGTCAGAAGACTTTATTTAATACAAATTTCTCTACAAATAAATAAATTCTTAAAATTGGAAAGAAAATTGCCTTTTTTTATGATTAGATGAGGGTTTAAATATACAATACAATATAAATAAAAATCACATTCACAGTCTAAATTGGTAATCGAAGATAATTTCATTGTTTTCAACAAAATTGAAATTGTTTTACTGGAAAATTAATTATCAGAATTAAAGAAAGAAAAAGAAAATTCAATTTACAATAGTATTTCGACTAAATTTTATTTGTCAATTTACATTTTATCGATTTGAAAATTTCCACTAAATTTAAAGTTGAAAATTTACATTTTATTTGAAAATTCGATTCTTTTTTTAAAGATTAAATTCGAATGATGAAAAATTCGATTTTTAAAATGGTTATAGCCAATGAAGATTTTTGTTTTTACTATATAAACAGCTTTTTGATTCTAATGGCACGAGAGATACTTTTTTTGACTCAATACTGGCTTCTATTTTTATCAAAATCAATATTAATTACCTACTAGATAACAATCTTTATAAACAAGTTTTTTTTAGTAACGTACTAAAATCATGAAAAATAATTGTTTACTTTTTTGACAAGAAAAAAACAAACAAAAAATTACTTAAAGCATTTAGTAGACACGCAGCACATTTCGATATGTTATATCGTCGTGGACAGAATAGACAATTTTTCTTTTCTTTTAAATAAATATTTTCCTTTAGTTCGCAAATAAATAAAATTTGAAAATGTTCAATTAGCCTTTTTTTGTTCTCTTATTCTAAGACATTCGACAAGTCATTTAAATATTAAATCACATCAAGGAGTTTCAACATCTATCGTTTCAGGCATTTGTAAAACCAAATATTTATTCGTATTTCGGTTTGCCATTAGAAATAAACCTCCCTTTTCGAACGGGAGGTGAACGATGAAGGGGAGAAAAGAAACCTTTTTGAATTTCAGGAAATTTAAAAATTGTTAATTAGCGAAACTTGTTAATTTCCATTTCGAAGCATTTTTGTTTTTTTAGAGAAAAAATCTAGAAAATTGATTATAATTTGAAAAATAAATAAAATTTATTAAATTTTCAATTGATTTTCGAAGATTTACTGGATTTATTCCAAGTGACAATTTTATAATTTGATAGCAATTTCGATAAAAATTATAAATTTTGATTCCCTGAGAAATTCAAGGTTTTTTCAAAGAGATGACAATTTAAATTATTGCATAGGATTCTTTGCATTTTTTTTTTGTGTTACGTTATTCGAGATACTAATTAAAATACAATACCACAGAAACGATATTTTTATATATATATATATATATATATATATATATATATATATATATAATAAAAAACAGCAATAAACTAAATAAAATATGCAACAGTTATTTACATTGTGTAAGTTTTGTTTTGCGAATTATTATCAACATTGATAATTTTGTTGATAGTATGTACAAAGCAGAACAATACTATATTTTTTTAATATTATATAAAGAAAACAAATGAAAATTAAGATAAAAAAGAAGGAAATATTTTTTTAATGAGAGAAATATAGAGAAAAGAAAAAGAAACTGTGGTATTGATTAGCTATAAGAATGATTTTTTTGGTTTTTTAAATATGAATTCAGGAAATATTAGACGTAGGGATGAAGAGCTAGGGCCCTACCTCGCAATCCTCTTTGACCACCTACACCACCTTTTGGTATCACATATCCACCCGCGTGTCGCGCTGTTCCTTCCTCTTCTAAATTTCCATTGCTTTCAATCAAATCGCGAAGTGGCCAGCAGGCCAGATGTCGAGATTTTCCGTGACGCGCCAATACGTGATATCCTTGTCTGAAAATTTTTTTTATATTTTTTATCTATTAGATAAATGGATTCAAACCAAACCAATATTGGATAAATAATTTTAGTTTTCAATTATTCTAATCATTATTAATTCAATTTTTATAAATAATTACATGCAGGCCTCATATCGACTTTAAGACGCAACAAAAAAAGTTGCTTTAGTCGATTAAAAATACAAAAAAAGACAAAAAAGGGGTATTTTCCTGACCTTTAACTGATTTTTAAATTCAATTATTCAAAACTTGAATAATTTTATCATAAATATTATATAAATAATTAAAATTGAAGTATGTATTTTTAAAAATAATTAAAGTTTATAAATCGTTTCAAATGTAAAATTACTTTCTGAGAAATGTTTTTCTCTTCTTTTTCGATGAAATAATAAAAACATAAAATACTTAAAAATACCTAGAGGAAATGAGTCCAACGAGTAAAGCCCAGTGAGCTTTATGACCCCTTTTAAGACAAGGAGCATGATTAAAATCAGAATCGTAGGGCACGAGAACCATCGCACCATGAGCCAATGCATGCGTTAATGTATCAGGACAAGTTTGAAGATCAATTAAAATATCAGGTCTGTGATCTGGTAAATATTCTGCAGCTAAAGTTCCCATGAAATCAACACTATAAACTTCGCCGTGTTGAGTGAATCCACGAACACGAGCTTCTGCCAAAAGTTGACCCACTGAAACTGGTTTTCTATATTCCTGAGATGCCATTGCCAGGGCAACTAATCCACATCTGTATTTGAAAAAACAAAAAGTACTTTTAAGTCTTTTTAAAATTCTCTTCAATTTTTTTGCTCTCAATTAAAAAATTATTTTTGTTTTTACAGGGTTGCCACAAAAATTTTATTTGCTTTTTTCCTGATTTTTCTCTGATTTCCAGACAAAATTTTCACTTTTTCCTAAAGAATATTCTGATTTTTTGAAAGCATCAATAACTTCATTTTTAAATAAATATTTAATTATTATTATTTTTTCATAAGAAGAAAGATTTTCAAAAATTTCAAATTCAACATAATAAGTAATTATATTATTGGGTTATAATAATTTAAAAAATTAATTCTACAGAACTGTTGGTTAAAAGTATGAAAAATTCAGATTTTCAAAGATTTTAATTTGAAACCTTTTCAAAATTCAATTATTTTTAAAAACTCACGCTATCAATTATGTATTATCTAAAATTTTAGCTGAAATTCATTTGTAAATCAATTTTTATTTGAAAATTCTAAGAGAATTCAATTATTTAAATACAAAAATAAAAACCGCTGCCAAGTTGTATATTTTTTTTTTATAATTTTGGTGCTCATTTCATGAACACTTTACTTCCTCATGGAGATAAAAATAATAGAAATATATGAATAACTTTTTATAAATATGGTAAAAGTGATTGAATTTTGGGTGAATCAATTTATTTTTAAATACCCTACAAGATAGTTACAATAATTTCATAGTTAAATAAAAATTTTCAAACAAAAAAGTTGAGAAAATGTCATTTTTCACAATTTTTGGTTTTTAGAATACCAATAATTTCGAAATTTATTATCGAATTAGGTTCAAAAATAGGCCAATCGAAGCGTTTTTTAATGCTCTACAAGTTGATAACGATAATTTTAAAGTTACTTCTACGTTTTTTAACAAAATTTTCAAAAAAGTCTTATTTTCCAAAATTTTTGATTTTCAAAAGTTTAATAACTCCGGTTAATATGGACGAAAAATGTTCAATTAGGGCTCAAAAGATGCGTCTAAAAAAACTCTACAAAATTATGGAAAAACATTTATAGGTGTCCTAACATTTTTTTAAAGTTATGGGCAAAAAACGTTTTTTTGCAAAATTAAAAATAAAAAAAAATTTAGTTAAACTTTATTAATATATCAGAAAGTACTCTCACTTTATGTCCGCAGGTGAGATCTACAATTTAAAAAAAAATTCAATTCAAAAGCTCTTCATGATTTTGAGATATTTATGAGAATGTGATGTTTACACACACACACACACACATATGGAATGACATTTTTTAAAAATGTCATTTTTGAACTCCTGAAGTCAAATAACATAAAGATATGTCAAAAAATCGAACTCGAAAAATTTTGGTATTACAATACTTCCTCTATCAGAAAGTAATAATTTATTGAATAATTGAATGTTTCTCAAAATTGAATTCTCATAAAGAATTTCATCAATAAATTTTTAAATAATCGAATTCTTTCGACGAATTTTAATAAAAATTTAAACCCTCGGAGAACACACCTCTTTTTTAGACCATTTTTCAAAGCTCAACCAATTTTAAACTGCTGATCTAATCAAACTAAAGAATTTTTTTAAACACACCCTAAAAAAAGTTTTACTTTCAGCCTCTTTTTGAGGCTGAATTTAAGGTGTAAACGGAGTCAGACTTTTTTTTCCCTGTGTACAGTTTAAACTCTGTAGAATAAGTCTGTATACTTGAAAATCCTTATTAAAAAAAGGATAAAGGATTAAAAAAAGGATTTTTTTATATATTAAAAAAAGATAAAAAGCTTTTCGTAAAAGTGGGTATTATCGCGGGTGTGGGTATTATCGCGGTATTTTATATTTTAATGAATATTTCATATAATATAAAAAACTTTTGACACTAAAAAATCACTTCTTAAACCTAACAACTAAGACATTAAAAGGGGCGCATGATTATTCCTCAAATTTCAATTTCCTAATGTTCAAAACATCGAAATTCTTATCATCGAAACATCATTTCGCATAATTTTCAGCTTTCGAAATTTCATTCAACATAATTTTTAATTTATCGATTTATTCTTTATCCTATTATTTAAATAGTCGAATTGTTTTTTAATATAATTTTTGATATGTCGAAAATTTTTTTGACATTACATTTTGTTTTTCCGAATGACTATTTGTCATAATTATTAATCCTCCGAATTGCCATTTGACATAATTTTCAAACCTTCGAAATCTTGTACAGGTTCATGTACAAGTACTTGTAAATATGAACACGTACAAGTACTTGTAGATTTTCTTTACACATTATTTTTAAGTTGTAAAAATTATAAACATTAAAGGCTGCGCAGTAGTTTTTATAAGCCTTTAGAGATGCGCAATAGTTTTTAGCTTGCCTAAAGTGAAGAGTCTTAACGATTATAAGTTATTAAAATGCGAATTTTAAAAAAAAAAAAATTATTTATAAATTTACTTATTCCAATTTTCTAAAAAAAATTTATTTATAAATTTACTTGTACAAGAACATGAACGTGTTCATGTATACAAGCACTTGTACATGAACCCGTACAAGATCATATACATTTTCTTGTACTAGTTTCTTTTCTTGTACAAGAACTTGTACATTTTCTTGTACAAGTTCTAATACAAGAACTTGTTTCAAATCCTTATACAAGAAATTGTACATTTTCTTGTACAAGTTCAGCTGCTGAACGTGTGCATTTTCTTGTACAAGATCTTATACAGGGATTTTCAGTAGGGTCGTTTATATTTTAGTAAATCTTATAACAGTTACAAAATACAAGCAAGAAAATAAAGAGTAATGGGAAGGATAAAAAATTAAAGTAAGTGAGATCTGTATATTTAAGGAAAAAAATTTTAATAACTGTAAAAAAGGAGCAAAAGTGTCAAATGAGAATTGACTATACGTTAGAAATATTTGATAATAATGGCTTTAAAATATTTTATCAGAGTATTATTTTATATTATGAGACTAATTAAATTATTATAATAAAACCAAGTATCTTTCTTCTTGTGAATGTGATACTAGTTTATTATTGAATTCGTCCATTTATTATAATGCATAAAATTTTTTTAATTCAAGTTCTTGCGATATTTATATTTTTATTTTTAAAAACTATTATTATTCCTTTTAATTTTTTACATTTCTGTTACAAAAATCAAAAAAGCAATAAATAAATTATCCGCGATATTTACCGCGCGATAATTGACTCATCCGCGATATTTGACACGCGAAAATACCCTCAAGTCATACTAAGTCCTGCGAGATTACAAGCATTTGAGTCTTCTATTTAATTATTTATTTAAATATTAAAACTATTTTCTACAACATTGGCAATTTTTTTTTTAAGAAAAAAAAGCTTAAATATTCATTTAAAATAAAAAACAAAACCATATATATTCATTTATTATTTTTAAACCACTTGGAAGTATGACTTATTCAAAATTCCTCGATAATACCCACATTTACCCTATTACTTAAACTTTGACAGGCGTTTTTCTCAAAACTGTGTTTTTCAAACTGGCGTCCATGCTATCTCGAAAACGGCTTGACCAATATCGCAATAATTTATAGGGCGTGTTCAGCACATATGTGGGTATCGCCCGAACTAGGATAATTGAAAAAGGTCAACTTGTTTCTTTTCTATACAACAAAATAGACCAAAAAAATCACGTTTTTTTGAAAAAAAAATTTTAAAGCCGCGTAAAAAATTCATTTTTGCTTCCTCATAGAGGAAGGATTGTATTAGCAAAATTTTCGATTGTGTTTTTTTGACATATTTATAAATTTTTTTTCATTATACCTAATCTTTTAGTACTTTATGTACGAATGGGCACTGCCCGTATAAATGTTCTAAATAAATAAAAAAAAATTTCGACGTATTTTGACCTCCGAAGTCCAAAAAACGGATTTTAAAAATTTGTCCCGATGTGTGTGTGTGTACTCACATTACATTTACCTCAATATCTCAGAACGAGAAAGAGCTAAAGGCCTCAATTTTTTTAAATTGTAGGTCTCCCCGGGGGACATAAAATGAGAGTATTTTCAGCCCGATTCATAAAGTTTAACTATATTGTTTTTTTTTTTTGCATTTTTCATTTAGTAAAAAAACGTTTTTTGGCCATAACTTAAAAAAAATGTTAGGGCACCTATAAATGTTTTTCTTTAGTTTTGTAGAGTTTGTTGAGACGCATCTTTTGAGCCTTCATTGAACATTTTTCGTCTATATTAACCAGAGATATTAAAGTTTTAAAAATCTAAATTTTTCGAAAATAACACTTTTTTGAAAATTTTGTTGAAAAATATAAAAGAAACTTTAAAAGTTTCATTACCAACTTGTAGAGCATTAAAAAAGGCTTCGATTGACCTATTTTTGAACCTGATTCGGTCAAAAATTATCAAATTATTGGTATTTGAAAAATCAAAAATTGTGGAAAATATAATTTTGTCAACATTCTTGTTTATGTGTAGGGTAGAGTGGGGTAAAAAAGCCATGGTGTAAAAAAGCCATTTGAGTTTTATTTAAAAACTATTAAGCCGATTTATCAGCTGTTTAGAATATAAATACTATTAGGTAATACGCAACTTTTGAATCTAGTTTGAATGTTGTACCTAGATTAATATTGTTTTTATTGTAATTTTAATTTTTTGTTGCTTTTTTGAAAACATTTTGGTGAACTTTTCAAACATATTATACAATTTGATTAAGTAAACGAATAATAAAAGTAAATGTTTGTACATAAGGAGAAAAGTATACCGAAAACGTATACAATGTTAATTTTTGGAAATTGAACTGAATTAACAATTTATTTTTGCTTTTCTAATAACTGGTCTTGGGTGTAAAAAAGCCAGGGCAAAAAATCCATTGAATATTTTGTGAAATTCACTTGTTTTCTATTTAAACTAACCTTCTTATTTTACAAAATTTCTCGTGTTTATTTAATAAAATTAATTAAATACGACGAAAAAGTAGTTCAAAGTGCATTAAAAAAATAAACAATGAATAAACGGTTGCAACGAAATATGTTATCTGTGGTGAAACTTAAAGAGAACTTCTAGAAAAGGTACGAAAAATTGGCAGTGCAAATCGAAAAAAGGTAAACTCAATATAATTTTCAATTTTGCTTGCTAAAAACTCTTTCATAATTATTAAAATATTTTTCAAATAAGACTATTTGTCATATGAATAAAGAAAAACTATAAAAATACCTAAATTGATAACATGTTTTGCTAAAATCATAGGGTGGCTTTTTCACCCCACCAGGTGGTGCAAAAAAGCCACTTACAGTGCTTCCGTAAAACTCTTATAACTTAGTCCTTTCATGAGATAAAAAATATTTCCGTCAAGAATTTTCAAGCTTAATAACTAAACTTTCAATAACAATTGGAAATTTGAGAAAAAAATTTTAAATACAGATTTTACAGCATCAAAAGTAAAAATGTGGCTTTTTTACCCCACTCTACCCTAATTATTAAACTATTATAACCATCTTATAGAATATATAAAAACATATATTTTGGACCAAGATTTAATGATTTTTAACTCTTTTATAAAAATTAATTCTTATATTTCAATTATTATTATTTCTATGAGGAAGCAAAGTGTTCATGAAATGAACATTAAAATTATAAAAATGTACAACTTGGCAGCGGTTTTTAATATTTTCAAATAATCCTAGTTCCGGTGATAGCCACATCCTCACAGATTAATCTTAATTAAGATGCCTTTTGATTTTTCGATTTTAGTTTAGTAAATTAGTCAGTATCGTGGACGCCGATAGACGGCGTTTTTATAATCATTAACACTTTCCAGTTTTATAATTCGGAATCAGTAAAATATTTTTACTTGCAAAAATTTTAATTTGTTGTTAAAAGCAAACTGAATATATGGTAAAAATTTTGAAGTCCTAAGTTTTCATGGTTCTTAAAAAGAAAATACCAAAAAAACTCTTAAAAAACGTCTGCTACACGGGGTGACCCCCTTAATAAATGGTTCTCTCAATATAACCTTTGAAATGTTTGTAAAATTTAATTATTTTCTCAAAGTCCGCTGAAATGTCCATTATTATCGTTTGATAAATAAAAAGTAGAAGATTCAAGCTTTCGTTTGATATAAATTTTATTAAAATCGAAGGTAACGTGTTTTCAAATTTTTTAAAGTTTAACTTTTAAACTCAATTTTCTATTTAAATTAAATTATTTTAAAAAATATTTTTTTTTCTTATTAGAAAGTTCAGAAATTCTACTTTCGGAATCACTAATATAAAAAGTAATTTGGTTCTACAGAATGGAAGAAATATTCATTTAAAAATTGTCTTACATTGGCAATTGTTTACGAAGGGGGTCGTTTTGAAATGGAATGCCTCATATTCGATAATTTCCGTTTTATTGCACCTTAAACCTTAAGTACCCTGTCTTGCCCCACCCTCCCCTAAAAACATCTGTGTCTATTTAACAATAGTTTTATTAACTAAATTACCTGTTTTACGCATACTTTAACTTATCTACTACTTAACACCTATCAGAAAGTAGTTTTAGTTAGGCTAGAAATAGCGGATCTAAGCGGATTTATTGCCTAAAAAAATCAGATTTGCAAAATTTAACATTTAGCTCCAGTCTCCCCTAACTTATTGAATAATTAAATGTTTCTCGAAATTAAATTCTCATAAAGAATTTTATCAAAAATTTTTAATTAATTGAATTTTTTCAACGAATTTAATTACAATTTTTAAGAATAATAACATTTTTCGAGGAATTCGAATAAAATTATAATACAAATTTAAGAATTTTTATACTTTTGAAAATAATTGAATTTTGGCAATCATGTGTAGGTAAATTCTCCAAAATTAAATTTTTTTTAGTGTTTTTAACTAAAATTCTTCTATAAATCCACTATTTTTAATAATTAATTAAATATATATTAAAAAATTGAACCAATTTCAGAAGAATTTGAATTATTAAAATTTTTCAAAAGTCTATAAGCTCTTTAAAATTTCTAATTAAATTCATTCAAAATTGAAATTTTATAAAATTTCAAATCATAACCTTTTGAAGTTCATCTATTTATGAAAATTGTAAATGCAACTCTTTTAAAATTCAATTAATTTTGAAATATCTAAGTAAAATTGTTCATTAAATAATTTATAAATACCTAAATAATTTGATGATAGTTTTTCAAGAATTAAGTTATCTAAAAAGAGATTATTGTCGGAAATAGAAAAAATGGATGTTTTTGTATTAGAATTCGTGGTAATTTCATAGTTTACGAAACAAACAAAAAGACGCAATAATTGAGAATTTTCTTATGAATTCTAAAAATTTAATATTTTCCAGTACTTTTAATAAAAATCCCTGACTTTTCCTTGATTTCTCTGACGTGTGGCAATCCTGTTTTAAATTGAAAAATTGCTCTGTATTAAAATTTAAGAGCAATTTCTTAAAAATTCTTTAAAAATTTTCATATTACCTATATTAAATTAAATGTTATTTTTTCTGCATAAAGTAGAGAAAAAAATGAATAAACACTTACTGAGGACCGTCCTGAAGAATTGGTTCCACTTGACAAAAATACGTCACCTCCGCATCTTTTAATTCATTTCTAGCAATCAATTTTTCTATTTCCGCCTCAGTCGAAGTGAGAGTTATTTTAGCCCATGGTGGTAAATTTTCACTTTCATTAACATCAGTTTTCTCACAAATTTGTGCTTCTGGCAAATTTGGAAGTGGTGGAGGTGGAGCTGGCATTTTGTTTCTTTATATTATATTATTTCAAATATATAATATTTATATATATATATATATATATATATAACTTTTATTCTCTCTAATTTAAAAATGACTATTTTCTTATTATCCTCGTTATTGATTGACAACAACGTCTATTATATTTTCCGAAAAAATATTTTTATTCTTCTAAATCAACATCTTTTACTATCTTCTTTCTTTTTCTTTGTATCCTCTCGTATGCATTTCATTGTATATTGTCATTAAATTCTGAAAGTACGAAAATAACAGTTAAATATTAAATGACTAGAATTTTTTTGTCAATAAAACTCTCGGACATGAATGGTTAAGAAAGAAAAAAAACACGAATGCACTTGAAAGTAAAATATTTTTCCCTACTTTAAATCGATAATCGCGAGGAAATAAAATTGGAATTTAAATCATTAAGAAAGAACACTGACAAAAAATTATTTTACCAAAAAAAAAATAGGTTCGAGTAAATGACAAAATAAGGCGAGAGAAAATAAGTCAATTAAAAACACACTTCTTGAAGACTTTTTTATAAATGAATGTGAATGACAGAGAGAGAAAAGAAATATTATCTCTTTGAAGACCTTGAGAACAAAAGACTTACTACTTCCTTTTGGTGAATTTCTTATTCACAATAGTGAATTATCAATAAACATAGTATTGAATTGAATATTTTATTAGTTAATAAATTAAGAAACGTCCGCCCCTATTGCACTGATCAGATTTTGACGTTTGCATGACACCCTTTATTCTGTGACTCATCACGTCTTATGTAATTTTGACTTTTTCAAAAAAGAAAAATATTAAGGGACACGCGATATTTTTCACACTCTACTAAATAGACGTTTCAATAAAAGGAAATTTTGTTAAAAATCAAACTATAGAACCTTCTCCTGTAATGATAGATAATAATGAAATAATTTTCCTACTGAGGAAATTAAGTTTTTAGAGGTTCAAGAAACGAAGACCGCAGGTCCGCAAGACGTGATAACATAACCAATCGACAAACAGAAATATTCCTATTGGTCCACAGATCTTGTGATCCATTAGTGCGGTGAATTTAAATTCTATTTACATTTTTTGACCAAAAGTAAACAAAATGTATTTACATTAAGTGGCAGAAATTACATACGAAAATCTATTTTCAATTCTATAATTTTTTCAACTGGTATTTTAATTATTTGTTTACGCACGAGAATAAAATTCAAGTTGTTTGTTTGAAATCAGTACCAACGTGATAAATTCACAGCATTTTCCCGCCAGGGAGTACCAACCTAAGTTTTTTGATTATTTACCATATGTTTGACAGTTGTCAGCTGGTTTTCATCCAAATGATATTAAATTAGGATTTTTAAACGATAAGGCATATTTTTGAATGTCGTGATCAGTAAGTATTCCTTATTTTAATTGTCTTTAAAAAGTCGTAAAGTAAATATTTTTTTATTCGTTTTTTTTTAAATTGTAAAAATTGTCTAATGCTACAAATTATAAATCATTTTGGACTTTAATTATTTCGAAAAAATCAGGCAATTGTTTTATTTCACTTTGTTTTTCTTTCTCCTCTTTGTATTTCTTTTCGTTTTCTGATATAATCTGGAGATTTACTAGTATGACAGTGACTTAATGAAGAGTACATTGAACTTAACCTATGTGTCAAAAAGAGATTTGCATATTTTGTTCGAGTTTAAAAATCCCAATTCGTAATTAGGTCAAAATATCGTACATTTTTTTAAGGTATTATTAATATTTGATCGAATTCGAATTTATGATTATATAAAAGAAATTGTATATTATAATTAAATTAATGGAGTATTTGATTTCTTAATACAGAGAAAGGGACGAAAATTCAAAGATGTTCTCGGCTTTCAAACGATTGGCAGGCAAATCCGAGGGAAATGCATCGCCACGACCGAATCATCAATCTATGCCCTCGAATTTGCAGAGAAAATTCGCAAAGGGAGTTCAGTATAATAGTAAGTTTTTATTTTTTATTAAATATTCGAAGCCACACGGATAAAAATTTTAGAAGAAAAACATTTTGTATTTTTTAATTCTTTTGAAAAATACAAATATTTTTAAAAATTTTAGTAAAATTCTACGCAAGAATTCAATTTCTAAAATGAATTCAATAATTTTTTAAAATTGTAAGAAAATTCTTCCAGATACACTGGGGTCAAAAAGTTTCAGTACATTTGTACTGATTACTTTTAAATGCTCGCTTCACTTCAAATTCAAATATTTTTGTAAAAATAGATGTAGGAGTTATCAAATTAGGATCATTTTAAAGTTCAATAAATTTAGAATCAAATAGGCTAACCAATTTAATAATGTAAATATTGAAAATATAATTCTTTAAGTTAGAGATTTTTTGTGAAAATTTCGATTTCCAACTCTAGAGTTGTACAATATTAAGTACAAATTCTATTCTTTTATTCTAAACCAAAATCATTACAATATATTAAGTATTTTCTTCAAATTCTACAAAAATAACTACTTTTGCTCTCTAAATTTTTCAAAGAATATAAAATTGCAATTTCTTCGTTTCTATTCATTTGTTTTTTCAATTAACCACACTTTTGAAAAATATAGAACCTCTTGATTGTAGGAAATTTAAGATATTTACATGAAATTTATCCCTCTTCTTTTAATGTTACAAATTTTAACTCTGTCATTATTTCTTATTTTCTTTCTAAGTGCCAATTTTCTTATTTTACAATAACAAAGAGATGCATACTTTTCTAAAGTGTGGTTAGTTGATAAAACAAGTGAACGGAAACGACGAATTTGCAATTTATGTATATTCTTTGAAAAATTTAGAGAGCAAGAGTAGTTATTTTTATAAAATTTGAAGAAAATACTTAATATATTGTAATGATTTTGGTTTAGAAATTAGAATTAAGGAGGCAGTCTGGGTCTTTTGCACGTATTTTGAAGTTTTTTTTTATAGTGAAATTTTTACATAATTATTATTACACATATGTATATTAAACTAAATAAAAAAAATTTCCTCTGTATTTTTTGTTGTTAATAACGAAGAAATGATGACTTGAAAAAAAATCTCGAAAATCTGGTTGACATGATATTTCCAGTCAGAACAAACGGAATCAAAAAATTCAAACGGATTATTAAAATATAGGTAAGCGGTTACAGCCTGAACTAAAATCATAATTTTTAAATAATTTTTAACCTGTTTTTTAAACAATTTTAGTTGCAAAAGAAGGGTTAAAAAACTAAAAAGTCCGCCATTTTGTTATTTTTCAATGAAAATTTTTTTATTTTAGTTCAGGCTGTAACCACTTACCTATATTTTAATAATCCGTTTGAATTTTTTGATTCAGTCTGTTCTGACTGAAGATATCATGTCAACCAGATTTTAGAGATTTTTTTTTAAGTCGACATTTCTTCACTAATAACAACAAAAAATGTAGAAATTTTTTTTTTATTTAGTTTAATATATATGTGTAATAATATGTAAAAATTTTTAAATGTTTAAATAAATTTCACTATGAAATATAAAATTCATCAAAATACGTGCAAAAGACCCAGACTACCCCCTTAAAGAATGGAATTTGTACTTGATATTGTACAACTGTCGAATCTTAAAAAAATTTTCTTCAATTGGCGTTCGCTTGAACTCCAGATTTCGAAATCGAAATTTTAACAAAAAATCTCTAACTTTAAAGAATTATATTTTCAATATTTACATTATTAAATTGGTTGTATCTTAGCCTATTTGACTCTAAATTTATTAAACTTTAAAATGATCCTAGTTTGATACATCTTGCATCTATTTTTACAGAAATATTTGAATTTGAAGTGAAGCGAGCATTTAAAAGTAATCAGTACAAATGTACTGAAACTTTTTGACCCCAGTGTAGTTCAATTAATTCTTCGCATAAATTTAATTTCCCAAACGATTTGAAATTTTTTTTTAAATTATAACAAAATTCTTCCGAATACCTAATTAAATTCATTTAAAAATTTTGATAAAATATTACAAAAAAATCAATTATATTTCGCAGGAATTCAATTAAATATTTTCGTAAATAATAAAATTCTTCGAAACAATTCAATTATTTTCAAAAAGAAAAAAATTCTTCGCAGAATTTTAATTATTTTTAATAGAATTTACCGAAAAAATTCAATTATATTCGAAAATTTTAATAAAATTAGTCTAAAAGACTTTAATTACTTTGAATACAATTGTTACTACATTCCTCGAAAAAATTCAAGTATTTTCAAAAGGAATAAAAGTTTTCCCAGAAATTAAATTATTTTCAAAAATTTTCATAAAATTCTTTTTTAGAATTTAATTTTAAGAAATAATCAATTATTCCGGCAATTATTCGTTTGTATTAAAATAATTTAAGAAGAAGAAGAAGAAGAAAATGTTGTGATTGCTTTTAGTGAAAATAATCATCAAGGGCGACAGGAATGTGGGCAAGACTTGTTTGTTTCATCGTCTTCAAGGACAAAAGTTTATCGAGGAATATGTGCCAACGGAGGAGATACAAGTGGCGAGTATTCAGTGGAATTATAAAGCGACTGACGATGTTGTCAAGGTGGAAGTTTGGGATGTTGTTGATCGAGGTAGAAGACGACGGAAAATGGAGGGTTTAAAAATGGACACGGCACCGGCTGAAAATATTATCGAGGAACCGGCATTAGACGCAGAATTTCTCGACGTTTACAAAGGGACCAATGGCGTTATTATAATGATGGATATTACGAAATCCTGGACCTTTGATTATGTACAACGAGAAATTCCGAAAATACCAAGTCACATACCTGTTATCGTTCTCGGCAATCACTGCGATATGTCGCATCATAGAACAGTTACTGCCGATCACGTCACTTATTTTATTGATACTTTACAAGGACGATTGGCACAAGTAAGAAAACTTTAAATTTTATTTTTATTATTTTCTCAGTATCTCAGACTTTTTACTTCTTTACATTTTTTCTTTTCTCTGACTTTTCAGTCAGGTCTAATTTTACTTTTGATCGTTAAAAATTAGGCTTCACTCATCTCCTAAAACCTAGTATTTACTACTTTTTATACAATTTGCTAATGATACTTTTTTTAGATTTCTAACACTAAAAGTTGATTTTCCTTTTTTTAGAATTTGCACTACTTTAAATTCGCTAATAGATAAGATAAAAAAAATTATTCTAAAAAATTGTAATAGGTTTTAATAAAATTATTCGCAAGAATTCAATTATTTTCATAAATAATAAAATTCTTCGAAAGAATTTAATTATTTTTTTAAATCATAAGAGATAATTCCATTTTCAAAACGAATTCAATTATTTCTTAAAATTGTAACAACATTCATACGAATAATTAAATTAATTAAAAAAATTTTGATAAAATACTACAAAAAATCAGTTATTTTGCAGGAATTCGATCAATTTCAAAAGTTTTAATGACATTCTTCGAAACAATACAATTATTTAATAAGTAAAAAATTCTTCGCCGAAAATAAATTATTTTCAGTAAATTTCTAGAAAAAATTCTGTTATATTCGAAAATTGTAATTACAGATAAGAGAAAGAAAATCTCAAACAGTTGAAAATAACTGAATTCTTTTTAAGAAATTTATTAGCATTTTTAAATATAATTTAATTTCTGAATTTTCATGAAATTTTTGAATATCATTAAATTCTTTCGAGGAGTTTAATTAAAATTGTATTGAAAATAATTAAAAAATATTAAAATTCTTCTGAGAAATTCAATTATTTTCGAAATTTTGTATAAAATTCTTCGAAACAATTCAATGACATATTTTCAATAATAAAATGAATTCTTCGCTGAAATCCAATTATTTTCAATAGAATTTCTCGAAAAAATTCGAGTATCTAAATTCAAAAATTTAATAAAATTTGTTTAGAAGAATTTAATTTTTCGATAACTATTTTCTTATTATGTACTTCTTTTCAGTCTTAAGGGAGTGTCCAAGTCGATTGAATTTTTACATCGACTTGGACATCTCCTTAAAACTACTTTTTAATACTTCTTTTAAAATTAATTATCAAGTGCGAAATCTATATAATATAAAAACTCATAATTTTCAGGTAAGATACGCAGAGACATCAATGAGAAATGGATTTGGTTTAAAATTATTGCATAAATTTTTCAATCTTCCATTTTTACAATTACAACGCGAGACACTGTTGAAGCAAATCGAAACGAACGAAGACGAGACACGATTGACAATTCAAGAATTGGATCTCTATCAAGAAAGTGATGATGCGAATTACAATAAATTTTTAGACAATCTTGTAAATAGACGAAGAGCTGTTGCCGATTCGACGTCAATGACTAACGTTGTTCCATTATCGTCGAGTAACAATGCTCTATCGTCAAGCAATAATGCCGCAGTCACGAATCTCAATCATGAATTAAAGAGAAGTGCAACGATATCGGGACCAATTGGTGCCGGTACTCCAATTCCGGTGAAAAATAATAATGTCGATTTAAGAACGCCGCCAAAGAAGGACAATAATGCATTAATGAAAATAATGTCGGATAATTTAATCAAGACTTCGCCTCACCATTCCTCGCACAACAGTACACCGAGAGAGGGTCATAATCCTGAAATTATTGGCAATAATCAAGAGAAACGTGATTCGCAACAATTACGACAACAGTCGTTCATGTCGAAGATATTTGGAAATAAGAAAGAGGAGGATGGGGAGAAATTGCCAAATATTGCTGGGATTAATTTAAATTCACCATTGACGAGCGTCGAGGATTTCGTTCCTGACGATGATGTGCTGGACAAGTCCTTCTTGGAGGAGGGCTGCCAAGGTGGGCAACAGTCACAATCAGAGCACGTCGATTCCGACAGGTGAGCATTCAAATTTATTTTCACTTTAAAAACTTTTTTTTCGAAAGCATAACTAAATTTACATCTCATTATTATAGTTACTAAAACTTTCTTTTTGAAATTTAATTAAAACTAGCCAAACTATCCGCGCGCAAGCGCGCGGGAATGTTGTATGGAAATGCTTATTTTAAACCATTTAAATTTTAAATCCATTTTATTTTTAAAAAATTTTAAAGAAAAATAATTATTATTACCTAAGAAAAATATTTAACTAACTAAAATTCAAATAATTATTTCACTCAATGGTCTCAATTTAACCTTCGCGCTACCAAAGATTTTTGTATACGCGGGCTACCGGATGGCCACCCGGGGTGGCCAAACGCTTTTTTACTTTTATATTCCAAAAACGATTAAAATTCATCAAACTTTTTGTAAATAACTATGTGTTAATACAATTGCTGTATTTTAATAAAGGTTTTATGCATATTGCAATTGTTTAAAAAATTTGTTATTGCAAAAACCTTTAATTTTCAAATAAACAAAGAGATTAGAAAATTTTTGAAAACTTTTCTTTTTTTAACGTTACTTAGTATTAAATCAAAAATTAAAGAAAATATTTATTGAAACGAATCATAAATATTAGTAAAAAATTATTTAAACAAATTATTGTTGTTATTTACCAACTTTTTACAGAATACACCTAGAAAGTTGCAGTTTTTTCCTAATTTTGCAATTTACTAAATCTTATATGATCACAAATAAAGAGTAAAAATTGAATTAATATTTAAACAATTTTAAAACAAATTATTGTTGCTATTTACCAACTTTTTACAGAATACACCTAGAAAGTTGCAGTTTTTTACTAATTTTGCAATTTACTAAACCTTATATTATTACATATTACAATTTATAAACGAATTATTAATTTGTTTAAAAATGGTTTAAATAACAATTCAATTTTGATTTTTTTATTTATAATCATATAAGGTTTAGTAAATTGCAAAATTAGGAAAAAACTGCAACTTTCTAGGTGTATTCTGTAAAAAGTTGGTAAATAGCAACAATAATTTGTTTAAAAATTGTTTAAATAATAATTTAATTTTTACTCTTTACATATTTGTGATCATATAAGATTAATAAATTGCAAAATTAGAAAAAAACTGCAACTTTCTAAGTGCATTCTGTAAAAAGTTGGTAAATAACAACAATAATTTGTTTAAACAAATAAAAAATTCATTGTAACATCAAAATATGTTGTATTTATTGACATAAAACAATTTTATTGTGAAACTTTCATGATTTCATTTTTATTTTTTTGCAATATACAAAATAACATCCGAACGTTTTTCAGTAGTGTTGAACATAGTTTTTTAATTGTTATAAATAAACAAGAAGAAATGTAAAAAAAAATTTATTTTTTTTATTTTTCGAAAGTAGATAAAATTTTGTTCAGTGACTTAAAATCGCGATTCGATTGATGCAAAAATCGAGCAGATTTACAACATTATTTATTGCTTGGCCACCCTGGGTGGCCATCCGGTAGCGCGAAGGTTAAATAGAATTTACATTACTAGACCTGAACTATAGCTAGAACAATTCCAATTAATATCTGGGTCATAAAAATTAATTTAATTCACAATTAAAAAAAAATAGCCAGTCAGTATTCAGCAGGAGGTGAAAAATTATTTTTTGAGTGAATTTTATCTTAATTTAAATACTTTTAAAAGAAATAATAATTATTACACACTGAAAAAAGTTTTACTTGAAATAGCGATTAGTTTCTCTAGAATAGCGAAAGTATTAATCAAAGCACTGCAAAATTTCGCTACTAAAGTGAAATATGTATATCCAGCTAAATATTTTTTGCCGTGCATAACGAAAAAAGAATTAAATTAACATATCAGATTTTCTAAATTTAAAATAACGAATTCAAATAGAAATTAATCATTTTAAAACTTAACCAAATTCACCCCAGAAATCACTGAATTCGATAAATTAGAAGAAAGTCAGACAAAAGAAAGTTTTATTAATTTTGAATTTCTAAAATTTAATGTCAAATTTAACGCATTAGAAACGAATTACAAGTGAATCCGATAAATTTTTGTTAAAATGCTGTTACTGCGCTGTTAAACTTTCTTGTTGTACGAAGAAAATTAAATATTGCAAAAATTGTTACATATTTTATACTTTTATTTTCAAAACAATTTTAAAATTAAAAATAATTTTGATTACGAAAATTTTAATTATTCTAAAAATTAAAAAAATTATTCATTTAGCTTTTTAAACAAAGAATTCCGTATCTTTCGAATCTAACATAACTGCAAAATATTAAATTAATTGAAAATGATAAAGTTAAACAACTTTTAATTCTAATTTCTTTGGAAAACAAAAAATCCGTAGTAAAAATACTAAATATAACTTGGATTAATTATTTAATTACAAGATGTAATATAATATAATAAAGCATCAAATTAAAAAAAAATTCTAAATGCGTTTTTAGAAATAAAGAAAAAAAATGTCAGGTAAATTTTAGGCGTACGATAGCCCCAAAATTTTATTTCTATACATTGGTTGTTTAATTGAATTTTTAACTTTATAATTATCATTTACTCGTCAGGTATGTGTCCATAATTTAATGTTAACATTATTTAAATAAATATAGAGAAAAGATATTTGATGTAATATATTTTAAATTGAAAAAATTTCCAATATATTTTCATTAATTAGTTGAATATTCTATGAATCACGTATTAATTTAAAACATAAAACAAAAAAATGTTAAAAGTTTATGAAATAAACATCATATTAAACAATATTTTAATGTAATAAAAATTATAAGAAATAAAAATTGTATTAAATTACTATTTTGTAAAATAGACTTTGATAATTTAAATTTATATAGTCTTTAATAATATTCAAATAATTATTTGTAATCAAATAACTTTTTTCAATAATATTGAAATAATGTCAACATTAAATTATATACATTAAATTAAATTATAAAAAAGTATTTACCTTTAGAATGAATGCGATAGTTGAAGAGTTAAAAATTGAATTAAACACATGATAATATAGAACATAACCATTGAAACGATTGAAACACATCAAAACACATTGCAAAATTTGACATTTAAAAATATAAAAAATGCCAATACTTAACCCACAAAAATTAATTTTCAAAACAAACAAATGAATGCAGATAATTTGCTAACGGAAAGGAAACTTACGATTATTATAATGTATTTAATATTTAATTATTTTTTGAAAAATGCAATTTTTCGGAATATCATTCTTTAAAAATACCATTATATTTCAAAACAATTTTTAAAACTGATAAAATAATTACAATTTCTCAAAAATTTTAATGTAAAACTTTTGAAATTTAATTATTTCTAAAAATTACAACTGCAATTTTTTCAAAAGTCAACTATTTTTTAGAATTTTTGAATATAATTATTCAAAAATTTTATAAGTTTTAAAGAAGAATAGTGTATATGTTAATAATTTTTTTTAAATAAACATTAAAATATTTTAAATAATTTTTAATTATGTAATTTTTTAAAGTGAGAAAATAAATGTCTTTGAAATAGAAAATTTATTTTAATAAAATTTGATAAAATTTCCTACTTTTCCAGTTTTTTAAAATTATTTTCAAAAATTGTATTCTCATTCAATTATTTCCAATAGGTAGAATTGTAATTAAATTCCATGCAAGAATTTAACTATTTTCAAAAATTTCAATAAAATTAGAAGAATTTTATTAGGGGCCGTACACATAATACGTCACGCGATTTTTGACCATTTTTAACCCCTCCCTCCCCCTATGTCACACTTCGTCAGAAATCTTGAACCCCCCCTCCCCCCTACCCCTCGTCACACACGTCAATTTCACTGTAAATTTTATACATTGGACAATATATATTATATCTTACACTCTAAATTATTGAATCAGTTAAAAATACCTGATTCAGAAGCAAAAAGTCAGTCATTGCTGATTGTCAGTTAAAACCTTGATTTTTAACTGATTCAAATTAAGAGAATATATTATTTATCATATTATAAATAATATGCCAATATATGTGGACGTCCACATGAAAAGGGCCCATATTGTCGGTTCTAGTTTTCGAGATAATCGCAATTTAGTAATTTTAGAGCAAAATCTTAATTTTTTTTTATTTTTAATTTTTTAATTTTTTCTTTAGAAAAAGGAAAAGGGCCCATTTTGTCGGTCATTTGCAAAAGTAATCCGCATTTTAAAAATGGAGGTGTGGAAAAATTTAAAACCTGTTGATTTTTCATCTTTAAGATGTCCTGGACTGTAAACAATTCTTATCTGAATAACTTCCCAGAAGAACCAGAGATATTGATGTTAGAATCCTTGTTTTTGTAGTCATAGAAATGAAAAATTCGATATTTCGTGAAATTTTTCGTAATAGAGACTGTTAAAAAAATTTAAATAAGTTTAATATCTATTCTTTTTCTTCAAATGACACAATAAAATTGTACCTAATCATTAATCTTATAAAAAAATGGTTTTTTAATAGAAAAACTGTCCTTTTTAGAAAAGGGCCCATATTGTCGATTTTTCGTATTTTCAAAATTAAGAGGGGGGGATGGTTTTAAAAATTTAAAACCTGTTGTTTAAAACAATTCTTATCTGAATAACTTCCAAGAAGAACCAGAGATACAACAATTAGTTGATATCGCAATCTTTAATTCCGTTTTTCTCGAAATGAGGTTTTTGGCTTTCTAAACTTTGAAATTCCGTAACTCAGCGAATTTTCAACCAAAAAAGTTCTAAGACCACTCAAAATTCTCCAAATTTTGCCAGGAATACGCCCATATAGATAACTCCAATAGTGCCAAAATGGGCCCTTTTCATGTGGACGTCCACATATGTTAAACAGGTACATAATAGATATTAAATAGTTCAAAGCATTTTTAACTTGTTTTATTTAGAAAAAGTGACATTGTCACATATAATTTCTTATAATCTTTGAATTTAAGAGATTGTGACGTAA